TTCATCATCTTTGTCTATACAACTGTTCAAGACTATTCACAGGGCTGTGTCCCCCTTCTGGAATAAGTGTCAGTATGTTTTCTTTAAATGTCCCTCATCTTTCATCAGACACAGAAATGTGATCAAGCCAGGAATTTTCCTTGATCTGAGACACTGTAATGCCTAATTTCCTGCAATGAATCTCAAATAGTTGTATCTACTTTGTCCATAGAACCAGAAATAATTTTTTATATATTTTGAAGGTCAGTAAATCAAAGCCAAATGTATGGCTCATGATTTCTTAGCCTGTTCCAGCCACAAAATAAAATGACTTCACTTGAGCTACTGTGACAGTGATTGTTCAGCATCCTGTCCAGGATACAAGATGGAATTTTACACTCAGTTTGCAGTGGGAGAAATAAAGACATAAAAATTGCTAGTATAAGATATAGAGAGGATATGAAGTCATGAATAGATTGCAGTAAAGCTTAAAATCAAACAAAATTTAATCTGATAGTAAACAAAAAGATTTCTGTGGGTTTATTGCCAGATGTGCAAACTCCCTTTAACTGTGAAATTAATTGATGTTCCTTTCCAACATGAATAGATGCTGTGGAAGTGTCCCAAAAAGGGTTCTGAATAGTCCCAGGGAGCACAAGTAAGCCTTGAACTTCAGAGAATGACAGATTAGAGCAAGAGGCTCAACCTCAGTAACAGGCTTACAACATTACACTGGTGAAAGATTATTACTCACAAAGAAAAGGATTAGAGGTTCTTGTTTAAAACAAAAGCTGACATTGTGCTTTATAGTTATATATCCCCAAGGAGAAAGGAACAACTGCACCAGCCAACTGCACAGACCAAATGAGCTGAGGTGTTGATGTGGACTGCACCTGCACTCATACATTGTGAAAAAAGTCTCTAGAGCCCCTGTCTATAGAGGAAAAAAAATAAAAGCTTCTTCACAAAGGTCCTGGCTTATTAATGCGCTAAGTGAATGCCTATTTACTTAAACCTGTAAAAATACACGAAAATCAGTAGCAATAATGGACATGCATTTCAATGCCCTATGAAATTTGTGCCTCTCTATCCACTAACCATATTTTTATGAGGTTTTAATTAGAAAATAATTTTATATTTTTATTATTTTTGTTTTGCTGTTCATTAGTCTTATCCTTGATATTACTCAGAGCAATGAGTAACAAGAGTAAATATGTGCAAGTTTCCCAAAAGTAGCACAGAATGTGAAGTCTAGAGCATATATATATATATATGTATATATAAATATATATATATATAAACTCTTCTCTGGAAAACAAAACTATTAGAAGCAATACAAAGTCAGTATCACTGACAATCCTGAAAAGCAATTCAGTTAGGAGAAACTGTATGTTTTTGCACAGTCCTCCCAGACTTGGCTTTTATGTCCTGCAGAAAGGTATGTCTGGATAATGCAATCCCAGCAATATAACAATGAAGCTCAAAAATAGTGCATTAGCTTTAAATTACATTAGACACTACATATCTGCATAGACACAATAATGCAGCAACATACTGTACAATTACAACTATGTTGGTAATTCCAGTTTTCATGCAGTGGTGTGTGCAGCAGGATGCTCTGCCTGAATTTTGAGAAAAATCTCAAAGAGTGCCTTGTCTGCAAAGGTACTAGTGGTGAACTGAGAAGGGGTGTCATTTTGCTTTTGGTGTTGAATTATGTCAAAACCAGTCTGACTCATCAATCCCAAAGCTGAACACCCTGACATCAAGGTAAAATGTGGCAGATATGGTAAATTATCCTTATCAAAAATGCTGAGCTGGTCCAGCTGGCCTGAGACATACGACTGACAATCAGTCATTTTAAACTCTGAAAGTCCAGTCCCACTTTCAAACTTCAGGTTCCTCCTGGACTGTGTGCAGAGATTCCTCCCTTGGGTGAGATTCCCTCAAGGTTGAGCAAAAGAGATTTGCCCTGTGTCATTGGTATGGGTGAGCAACATCAATTTCTACTTAATAACAGCTTCTTCTTTGCTAGATTTAATATAGCTGCTTTAATATAGTACACTATACTGTACCATATTATAATAGTAGTTTTAGCTTCTGTACTGTGTAGTAAATAATTCTGATAATGATCTTTTTGCCTAGTCATTTATCATAGTAAATCATTAATTTTTATATAAATATATCTGGTTTGCCATCCTTAATCCTACAGCACAAAATTGAATGAAGGTTCAACCAAACCTCCATAATTCCTTAGATTTAAGGCACTGAAAAAGGCTGGGTCTAGGTTTGAGTCCAGCTGCAGCCAGACTCCTCTCTGAGAAGGCAATTAGAGAGCATGGGGATCCTTCCTGCACCTTGGGACTCAGTGGAAGGGCTTCTCTAAACTTTCTCTGAAGCTCTGTCTTCACCCATGGCAATGTGTTACTATTTGCTGATTTATCTGTGACAGATTTAATGTGTTGGCAGGTACAACTCTCATCCTCATGACTGCTTTGCATGTCAAGTCTCAAAAGTAGTCAGTAGAAGTCCTTAGTTTATTGTTGTACATGAGCTGATGTTTTGCACTGCACTGACTGTACACTAAAAATTCATTTGTAATATATATATACAAAAGATTCAGTTGCAGACTGTATTCTGACAGAGTTCAGTGTGGGGTTTTTTCTACCTTTTCTCTGAACTAGTTAATAGTCTGATATAAATTGAAATGTCAATACCTTGTATGACATTTACCTTGGCCTAGCAGGGGACCAAGAATAAAATAATGAATGGATTTTCTTCCTGTTCAGCCAGACTCTACAGAATGAAGCTCACATTTTTAACCAAGATTTTATTTTTAAATACTGATTTTACTTATTTTTTTAAAGTGACTTTTCTAGTTTTTGCCACGATCCCCTGGATCAAGAAGCAGTAACTGCAGAGACATTGGCAGAGCAGCATTCCTGGAAGCACCTGCACTAAATCACCTCTGCTATGATGAAATGCTGGAAGAGTTGGGGCTGTTCAGACTGAAGAAGAGAAGGCTCAGGAGGATCTGATCAATGTGCACAAATACCTGAAAGGAGGGAACAGAGGGGATGGAGACAAGGTCCTCTCAGTGGTGCCCAGGGGCAGGACTGAAACACACGAGGTCCCTCTGTCACTGTGAGGGTGACAGAGAAGTGACGCACATTGCCCAGAGGGGCACTGGAGTTGGACCAGAACACTCTTCCCACCTTAGACACTTCTGTAATTCTGTGTTTCTGTGAAATCTGTTAAGATGCACTGTGTTTCATAAGGCATCCAAACCAGCACAACAAATCCAGGCTGTCTTATGGAACCTTTACCTATAGACCCAAATATCCTCAATTGTATGCATGAGGAGAAAGACAAGGAGGAAATTAGTAAAGGAGGAAAACATTAACTGGATTTTGAGTCGCAGTGGAAAAATGCCATATGAAGACAAACAGTAACTCCATACATTAAAATAATATCATTTACAAATAGTTTAAAAGCATTTTTCAGCATTCAGGATTTCTTTTTTTCTGGCAATTAGTAGTAAATAAACATCTGAGGATATTAGGAATGCCACTTTATGGCTTTCAAGGGCAAAATAAAGTTGTACTTACTAAAGAATAAATATATGAAGATTGCCTACTGCTCCGTGATTTTGCTTCTAGAAATGTTCTGCATTTAAAATTACATGCATCTGAAAGATTTTTTTTTGTTTTGTTTTGTTTAACTACCAGGATGTCAATTCATTATTATAGCATCCTATTAATGATGGAGGATACATCCTTTATTTATCCATATCCCTTTATTAACCATACCTGTGAAGTGCTACATTTCAAGAACTGCAATGACCAGTGAGATAAAGCATTTATTTTAAATTATTTACTTAATTTGAAGCTATATAAGTCCCCAGAAAGGCAACTTGCCTAACTGAAAGCTTGCAGCTGCAAGATGACACTGGGCACACACTCCAGTTACATTGAACTGCATCTCTCCCTCCTCAGTACACATTTGGAGGACTTATTCTACAAAACATGTAAGGAGGGTTTCAGAGGGTGTCCCCTGGGCTAAAGTTGATAAATTGTGAATTAGTTTACCCGGTAATATTTCATTCCTGATCTGTGCTGTCTGTGATTCTCTCCTAGCACAAGTGGAGCTTTCACACTCCCTAGGCAATCTCTCGGCTGCTGAGCCCTCTGAACTCACATTTTTCTTGGCAACAGGCAGGAAAATTTGTGTGAGTAAAAAAGAACATATTCCCACCTCTACCAGGTAAGACTAGAAAGCACTTTAGCAGGTCCACAGGAACTTCCAAGAGATTTCATTTTTAAAACTAATTAGGAATTTTGGATTTTGGGGGGATTGGGGAAAGCAGTGGAACATGCAAGCAGAAAATCACAGCTTTTAGATTCTCATCAGCTTGAAGTTCATGGTGTGTATTAGACTATCTTATGAATAAAAACGGCATGCCCTTAAGACATATTTGCAATTGAGCACGCTGCTTAATAGTTTTTAATTTTGTTAATATCTGTGGCTGCTGAATAGAACGTATTTTCCTTATTTCTCTGTGGATGGGCTTTTTCGCTCTTTCTCCTATTCGAATCCAATATATCTTGCCATGTGTCACGCAGACAGAGCCAACAGTGCCCGGTCTGAAATCCTTTGGGATCGCTCCCGAGCCAGCTGCGCGCCCCCGGCGCCTCGGGAGCGCGGCGGGCCGGAGCTACCGGCAGCGCGCAGCGCCCTCGTGTGGCCAATCCCAGGAACTGCAGAGGAATTGATGCTGTCAGCGGTGATCCACAAGAGTCGGCGATTTTCAAACCTCTGTTTTTCCCAGCCTTGAGGAGGCATTAATACAAGGATAAAGCGCCAAAGCCTTTAAAACTAATTGGGGTTTTTTTGATGGTATATTAGTACAAAACAGAAACTGGCAGGTTGTCCAAACCCTGCCAAGATACTGCTTTGTTATGTCCTACTAATTATTCCTCTTGGTAAATCTGGTTAACAGCCACAGTAGATGACAGAAACATTTTCAGGGCTCTTGTTTCCTATGACAAGAGAAGGATTTTTACAAAGAAATAATACATGGGACATGCTATTATAGGGGAAAGTTACCAGGAAAAAGCTTCATGCTCTGGTCTACATCAGCAGGGCAAGATGCTTTCAGGGAGGCATAGGCAAGGCAAGGGCAAATTGTCTGGAGGCTGCAGCTTCTCAGGGAATTGCTTGGGTTATGTGGCTCCTCAGAGGCCCTTTTTCGGCCTTAATTTGCTGTGCAACAGAGAAAGCAGATTCAGTCACACCTCTGCATAATTAAATGAATTAATGAGATACTTCCACAACTTAAAAATGCACAAATACACAAAAGAGATGTTTATTTCAGGCTAATATATCGATTTAAATCAAATCCTGGTAAGAATCTACTTACAGGGCACCTGTAGACCCACTGGCAAGGAAGGAGAGGGTGTACTCACGACACATCCTCCTCTGTGCTGGCACCTCTTGAAATCAGCCTCGGTTAGGGACTCCTTTAAACAACATCAAGCAAAAATGACAAGAACACTCCAGTTTTCAATATTCTCACACTACCCATCCTCTTCCTTTCACTCTGGTGATGGCAGTTTATTTCTGCTCCAGCTGTATTTAGATCTAACTTGTTCGGTGGCATCGATGACGAGCTCTGAAGGGGTCCAGGGCCAATAACCACACTGCCTGTCTGCCTTGATGCAGACATGAGCAAAACAGCAAACAAATGCAAAATATTCTCAGGTTTTCAACGGGAGTCAGCTGTCTCTGCCAAAAGAAACAAACAAGCAAACACACAAAGAATACCACCTTAATTCATCCTTCCTTGGCTGCACAGGATTTTTAAGAGAAATACCAAACAAACAAACAAACACAAAACAAAAAAGCAAACAGCTGAGCAGACTGTCGGAGAAAACTCCTCTCTTTTCTGCATATTTTACTGGCCCACACTCTCTGTTTCCCCTTCTATCTCTACTTTTTCTATGCACACTTTGCCCTTACTAGCACAAAGGAGTACAGAACAAGGAAAGAGAGCTATATGTGCTATATAGGACATCCCAGTTCTGCATGGTCCTGCTTTCACTTATCACAGAAGGAATTTGCCACCTTTCAGCAATGGTGAAACCCCTTAGTGCCAGCAGAATGCAGGTACCCCCATCAGGCTCCTCTCCATTAAAACAAGCAGTTTCTGCAAGTAAGTCAGGAGAACCTTGTGATATTTGTCCATTGCTACACCCACAGAGATGACCAGAACTGCATTGATCTGAAGACTGCTGCTTCATGCAGAGCATCTTGCAATCTTCCTACCAGTAGCATCAAAATCAGACACAATTCCTAGCTGTTTTCAATACTAAAGTCTTACAGAACAGATAAAATGCCTGTTTGAAAAAATAAATTTCTCCATCATTCCTCACTTTATTGTAACATTTATTATACATATTAACCAGTGCAATATCCTCAAAAACCTACAAATTTTACATAATGTCATCTTATATCAGTTTTTGAATAATTTAGAGCAGTAGTATAGCTGAAGGCTTACAATAAGGACAAGTTTACAAAACTTGATATTTACTCGGCTGTTACAGGACAAAGAGGAAATATCCTAGTTATAATTGCCAAACTGTAAGAGAAAATGCTTCCAAACAGTCTTTATCTTTTTATCATATAAATACCTGATTTTACAAATATTTTACAATCCTTTGGGGTTTCTTTTTAATATGACATATTTTTAAAGGTAAAAGTAATACATGATATGAATTAACAAACTTTTGAAGCCCAGTATATCATAATTCCCAAAACTGAAGAAGGAACATGAAATTACTTTTTATACTTCACTTTTCAGAACATATTTTTAGGTTTATTTAAATGCAAAAATGAGAAGTCTAGCTCTCTAAATGTGTCTAAATGTGTTATCATTTTGGTACATGTTGTTCCATTCTTGCTCATTTATACATCTCCTTGCATCTTTAAAAAATGGACATAATTAAGCTGAGTGCAAATACAAGTCCAGTCCTGTTAAATTTATTATGAGGAAGTATTTGTAATCATTATTGTGTGATTTTCCCTTATACTATTGCTTTCTCTAGGAAGATGCTTGAAGAGGGCATTCCTGTTGCAGTTTTCTCTGGAGACTTCTGCAGCTGTGTATGGCAAGTTTATTCACCAAATAACAAAAAAAAAATGTTAAATATAACACAGCATGACAAAGACACCAATCTCTTAGGCTATTTAGCTTATAACTAAAATTACAAAGTCTTAGTTTATAAGCATCAGCATTGATTGCCACAGCTGGTAATGAGGCATGAATGTCCACTTGCCTTGTAAAGCCTTGAAAATGTCAGAGGAAATAGAAAGTATTGGTTTATCTCTCCAGACAGATTTCATCAGCTACACAGACTGCCTAACTCTGGATGTTGGTTTGCTTAAGTACTGAGTATTCTCAAAGTGAAATTGAAAGCAGTCCAGGAAGTCATCAAGGAGTCAGAAAAAAAACCCATAGGCCACTAGAAACTGGTTGAGAGCAGGAAAAACTACCAAAGCATCTCTAATTCCTCTAATCACTAGAAATGCTGTCTGTACAATGCATATTCTACATATATGTTCATAGCACATTAAAAAAAAAAACCAAAACAACCTTTCTTTTCATTCACTTTTTCAAAACTGGTATTCACAGTAGTTACAGATTCTCTAATCAAAAAAGAGACCACTACCGAAGGATATTTCAGTCTACTTCTCATTGCTAGAAAATAAGATATTACTGACAGAATCACTATCACTAACAGAAAATAAGATATTAATTTTAATTGCAACTTTCTTACTGAAAATGTATGTAAGTGACTGAGCTCTGAGACAGTGTGGAAGATCCCGAAATATTCTTGATAAGAAACTTTATGGAGTTGCAGTCCCTGCTTCTTGCCTTCACTCCCCAATGAAAACTCACATCCTGTGTTGCATGTCCGTGAAACCAAATGAGTTCTTGTATGCTCTGGATTAGGCCCAGTTTGTATTTAAACTTATCACAGTAATAAGATAACTCTTTTTATTTCTGCTTTATATTACAGCAAAACAGATTCAAAGAACACTTTGGATTTTTTTCCAATCTTATGCCAAACAAGTTCAAAATCTGACAGGCAGTTACTTTTTGGGGACAAAAGTAAACAAAACACCAGGATGGTTTCATGCTTTGTTATACATCTTCAAGTGCATTTATTTGCAATATAATATGTGCTTAAAAATTTTGCTCTGACTAAATCATTTTTTTTTCCCTCTACTGGTTTAAATTCTGCAGAACGGGCTGCTTTTCACAGGCTAGCTCTCACATCTGAACAAAAACTCAACTTCAGGTCTGAAAAGTCATCTGGATGAAAAGTGTAATAACCCAACAGTATTTCAACAAGGGAGGTGGGAAATCCAAATAATTCAGCACACTTGAAGAGAAATTATCATCAGATCTGACTATATCTGATTATGTTCTGTATCAGCACAGCAGGACAGGCACGTAGTGCATTTCCAGAGGTCTAGTGCATGAGGTGGAATCCTGTTCCTTTTCTAAATATTGCCCTTTCAAGGACATAGGCCATATTTTATCTATCACATAAAAGACTTATGATACATAAAAATGAAGAGCTTTGTTGGTGGGGTTTTTTCACATCTTTTTATTGCAAGTCTGTACAATAAATGTGTTGTTAATGTGTCATTTCTGCGGGCTGAAGTATACAATTTTATGCTCTGTGTTAGATTGTTAGCAAAACCAAAAATTTCTGTCATTAGTAAAATAAAGACCCTCTAAAAACAGAAACATGAATAGAGTGGCCCAGATACCCTAGAAATGAGAGAAAATTATTGGTTTAATACTGTTGATCACAGACCATGGTTGGAGCAGTCAGATTTTCACAGAAACCTCTGCCATTACAATAAGAAGTTTGAAGTAAAATGTGTCATCTGCCACTTCTCTTCTTTCTCATTTCTCCCAAAACCTAACAGAAATCCAGCCAAAATGATGAATTGTCTAAAATTAAAAGAGTTTAAAAGTAACAAAACAAACGTAGCCTGAGAATGCACAGTGTGTTGAGGGGGAAGGGACAGATGGTACATCTTCAGGCTTGGGAGGCTTCCCATCAATAAGTCAAATCTGTTATCACTTTTTCATGGGTGTGTCAAGAGTACAGTGTCTTTAGAAATCTTCAGCACATGCAAACAGAAGAGATCATGTAAAATAAACATAGCAGGTTATGCCTTGTTAGCTATACCTGAATTCCAATGATGACCCCAGCAGGATTTCACTCCTGCATGGATTTTGGTGCATCTGTTGCCATGCAGTCAAAGCTCAAAGTTTTCTTCTCCACCCCTTCATACCTGGAGTGACACTTCAGAGAGCTCTGTTCAAATGGATTGTTTGTCTGCTAGGGAAAAAAAATGACAACAGATAACAGAGAATTATGGTATGAGAGAAAAAGTCATTATGGTCGATTCAAAATCACTCATCTCAAGGCAGGTAGTTATTTTCTTTTAAAATGCACTTTTTCCTACTGTTTCTTACCAGGCTAATTGTGTAAAAGAGTTTTATTTCTGGCCTATTACAGTCAGTACTTGTTGTCAGTATAGATGCACTGGATAAATTCCAGAGATCATCTGTGACTTTCCAAACAGAAATACAGCAAATAGTGCCATTTGCTTTCTGCTTCCTTCTTCCACAGCTGTGAAAATTGCATTTTCCTGGAACACTGTTGTACAAATTCTGAACTCAACTTGACTTCCAAGGTCCTCATATGTATAGTTTAGCTCAGCAGGTTTCAAAATAGGAGATCCAGATGGGTGCTATATTATATTCTTAGAAATTACTAAAAATGTGTAAGGGAAAACAAACAAAAAAAAAATCCGTAATAACTGAATAATTTGACACAAAAATGTTACTTATTTTACAGGACTATTTGCTGTTATATTTTAATGATGAGTCAATCAGGAGTTGCAGAAATGCTATTGCTGATAGTAAAATTCCCGTATTTTCGGCACATTGCAGCACACTCCTCTATCAGATCACAGCCTGAGTACACATTCATAAGACAGACCTCTTAGTTCTGACAACTGTTTTGATAAGTCTTTTCTCATGATAATGGGTGAAAAATTCTTTCAGCACTTCATTTAAGGGAAGCATCTTGGTTTAGGCTTTGAATCAGGTAGTAGTTTGATTCAAATGTCATTTTGTCTTCAAATCAATTTCAAGTCAATGCAATGATTAAATGCTTTCACTATGTACTCTTTTTCCAGAAAATAAATATTCTTCCTTCCTGTTAGAAGAGCAGCTCCTTTCAGCATCTTCAGAAGCAACCTGGTGAGAAAATAATATAACACCCTTTTTCCTTCACAGCTTGCCTAGGTATTTTAGGTGTGAGTCTCAAGTTGCTTACGACTGTGACTTCTTTCGATGCGTAGTGTTCCATACCACCACTGCTATTTAAATTACATCTCATTTGCTGCTGATTTGAACATTCACACTGGTGATTCAGACATCCATCTGAACATCCTTCAGGAAGTAGAAAATCACAAGAGAGCGCAGTTGCACAGAACAGGGTTACAAAGAAATCAATCACAGATGCAGGCAAAGGTGGATCACTGCCTGTCACACTCGTAGCAGCACATAATAGCACATAGGAAATGGTGCTTAAAGTCATTTTAAGCACTACAGTTAATGGCATTTGCCATAATACCTTTCATCTGAAACTCCAGAGCACAGTGCTGCTATACTGACTGTACTTTAACCACTAAAGTCAAATGTCAGCTCTTCATCTGCAATCAAAGCAATGACTACGGCATCCCCCAGCTGAGCAAATTTCACCCAGCTGAAAATAGGAAGCAAGTTTTAGTGTTCATTGAGCAAAATCCCACAAGTTATTTCTTACCTTTCCTTCAAGACTCCTTATTCTACTAATTCTGGTGCATAACTGTTATTTTCAACAGACTGATGATGTATTTAAGACAAATATTCACTGTGGTACTTGGTGCTTATTTGGCCTCAAGATATGAAACAGCATTCATATGAATAAGCTAATTCTTCCAAATGTTAATTCATTAATTTTTTTAATTACAAGTTTTCTTCATTCACCCATTCCTAATTTTGATTCACCCATTTCCTAATTTTGATCATTCATTTTATATTGTGTTTTTTTTTACTTCACTGAACGAATACCAGATACTTTTTATGGATTCCTTGTCTTCTCAGGCATTGTAGCAACTTGCCTCTGTGAGGAAAAACTGTGATGAGACAAATAAAAATACTCACACTTAGCACTGAGTCTGAAGTTTTAAATTTCTCACAGAGGACTGAAATCATTATTGGTGTACAGTGAGAAGCATTCACAATGAAGTGAGAGAAGAAAATGCAGTTTAAAGTGCTGGAAAATAGGTCACCTTCACTACAGAGTATAAAGGACCTGCAATGCAAAAAATTTTTTCTAAGAGCTCAGCCCCCTGTTCTACAAAAACAGGTGACACCATAAAGAATGTCAGTACACCTGAATCCCAGAAACTCACTCTGTCCTGCAGAACAGATAAAGGAACATTGCTTATCACTTATCACTTCCACCTGATCCAGCTTTTGGGTGGTCTGAGGCTGGCATTAGACCTTAGGCACTGCTAAAGCATAACTCCAAAGTGCACAGTGCTTTTATCACAAAGTGGTATCTTCACTAAAGGAAAAACAATATTTGTATTATATTCAGGTGGAGGGAAAATAGGTATTTCTCAATCTTTTATAATTATTTTTTTCTGTCTTAAAACAAGTAACTCTTTCCAAACAATTTTGAATGTGTTTGGTTCATTTTCAGATTCCATTAACTGAGTGCCTTTTCCTAACAAGAAAAATATTGAAGCACAAATGACAACTTCAACCTGGCTTCCGTCTCATGCATTAATACAGGCAAAATTCAACTCTTTGAAGCCCAGAATAGGAGCAAACTGAAGAATACATTAAATTTCTGCATCAACAAACTCTTACATTTAACAATAAAATCAGCAAGGATTTTTCCACTAACAACTTTTACATGTAATGACTAATTAACATTTTTTGAGAAATCTATTCAACAAAGTTAGCAATGCCTTTTCTAAACTACTGAAATTGTTATACGTCTGATTTCCCAGACCTATATAATCTCTTTTCCTGCAGAATGCTTATTTACCTCTATTTTGTTCAATTAAAGTGTCTCCTTTAATCTAATTGCTCTGGCACTAGAATATGTTAACTATTCTTCTCTGTCTGTTCTTTAACTTCTTTGCCATAAATAATTTAATTAATTTAACATTCATATTACTCTCTAATTTTTCTACAAGAAATACTGTATTTTGACATCATAAAAGGTACGTATTCCTAAAGTTGAAGAAATGTTACAAGATAGCTGGAGCAGCTGAAATGCTCACCACAATCTGAGCAGTAGTAAACGGACAATAACACCCAAGTTCACTTCTAAGATATACAGATTCTCATTTAAGAAATCTTTTTTCTTTTTGTCCCTAGGTTTGAAAATATGTGCACTGGTTAAATACTTTTCATAAGATACTGACATTTCATTGGGATTACATCATTCATAATACTGTATCCCAGGTGATATGCTGTAAAATACTGATTTTGTAGGTACCAGAAAACACAGTTTAAAACACATTACAAGGATACTGACTGTCTACTTTTCAAGAGCATAACTTTAATAACGCAGTCCACTGTCATTTTATTGCTCTTATTAATATGAATTTTTTCCCTCATATAAGTGTGGTCGTTTGAAAATAGCTTGGGTTTTAGTTTATTTTCATTATTATATGCTTATGTCCAAACTCCTGTTCTTTAGTTTTGCAGTTTAAATTACTCTTATACATAGAATTTAAAAGAGTTTTACCTAAACATTTCCAAAATACATTTGGGTTCTGTATCTTCAAAACAATCACTGCCATAAGCCTCAATATAAATGATAAATACTTTAGCACAGCAAATATAAAGCTGGATCATAGCCAGTCTTTAGAACTATACCATAAACTTATACCTACAGTGAAAAGTTCTTCTTAAGACCACCTACCAATAAGTAACTGTTTTATTTTCTAATAACAGGTCGTTTTAAACCTCTAGTGCCATATTCCACTTCAGCCAAGGCTACAGATGTTGGAAATCCCCCTGGGTACAGAACATTCATTCCCAAGCAGACTGTGGGAACACTGGTGTGAATGTCAAGGCTCACAGCAGCATCTAAAACTCAGTTGCTCCCCTACAGCATTTCTGCAGATTTTCTGTGTTGCGGTTAAGAGAACAGGACTGCAACATTTGTAAGCATTCTATTTTGCAATAATAGGTGCAAAAACAAAGGTTAGGTAAAGAAGAAGGAAAAGGCCAATAAATCTATCAAGAATTTCAAAAGTTCATTTTCTGTCAGTATTTCCTCACTGACATTTCATGCCATCTTGAAATCTTGCTGAGCCTGGAAAGGCCTATTATTGGGGAAGATTAATACAGATTACAGCAAAGCTGACTGTTTCAGACACACACTGAATTATTTTCACCACATACAAAAGCAGGATTTTCAAGTATCACCAGTCAAATTACTGATTAATTTCTTGACATTGTTCAATAAAAACTGTTTAATAAAGATCTAATGAACTTTTCAATATTTCAAGGAATCTTTTCTATAGGATCCTCTCACTAAAATGATATTAAGCTTTATCCATTTTGGGTCAACTCTGTAAAAAGTTTTTGTAATTTGGGTGGAAGAAAGGGGGAAACTTAAATAACATTTTTCATATCACCATCTATATTTAACACTTAAAAACTTCCTGTAGACATGTTCATATAGAGACAATAAGAACTTTATGCATAATGGAAGTACCCATAGTATGATTAAGAGAGAAACTGGTAAGGTAGAAAAGTTAATTTAGCTGAAGCAATAGAGGGTATGTTGAAGAGTAACCTCAGCTTTTAATTAGGCAATGAGACAGATGAGGTTAGGTTCAAGGTCAGGTTGGACAGAGCTGGAATCATCCTGATCTAGCTGAAGATGTCCCTGCTTATTGCCAGGGAGGTTGGACTAGATGACCTTTAAAGATCCCTTCCAACCTAACCATGCTATGATTATATACACAATAATATGATGGACCAACAACAACATGGACCAATCCCATTATGAATCTGATAAAGAAGTGTATCATCTTACTCAGATATGAAATGAAAGTGATATGATATGAAATATTTTCTGGGGTTTGATGCTTTCTACTGCATTGTATTTGGGGTTTTTTCTTTTATAATTGATCATTTTAACAGATTAGAAATCAGTCAATCAAAATTGTTGAAATAGGCCTTGTGGGTAAGATTCACCGCAAATGTTTAATTAAGGTGTCTTTCCTTACACCTCTTATTTCCTGTGGTGCT